AAATAAAATTCCTTTCTGGAAGGAATTCAAGAAAATTATTTTCCTTCTGTGTTTCTGTCTCTCTTCTTCTGGCTTATAAAAACACCTTGGCTCAGATATTACACCAATTCTGCCTTTTATTAAAAAGCCCTGCTCGGGTTGTGCAGATTTCATGCTGTTACATGAAAGTAAAATTTTATGACCAGAAGCTGAAATTAGGAAGGACCCTTTTTTTGTTGTTGTTGTTGTCTTGGGTTGGATTTTGTTGGTAGTCAGGAGGGTTTGTTTAGTGTTGCTTTTTCTAAAGCACAGCCAACTCCTCCAGGGCTGAGCACTCCAGGCTTTTTTTGGGGATGCTCGTTCCAAACAGGTGCTGATGTTGGGAAGCTGAGCTCTGGACAGAGGAAGGAGGTGGGTGATGCCCTCCTTCTGCTACTCACCTCGGAGCAAACAGGGTTCCATGGCTGTTCCAGAGTGGGAGGGATGTGTGGGAGAGCAAATGTGTTTCATTGCATGGGACACAAACCCTGGATGTCCAGCCTGGAACAGTGTTGTGTTGTGTTGTGTTGTGTTGTGTTGTGTTGTGTTGTGTTGTGTTGTGTTGTGTTGTGTTGTGTTGTGTTGTGTTGTGTTGTGAGCAAAGTAACTGTGCAAAAGTGGGAGCTGTTCCCTCCTCTCACCCTCTATAAATCCAGATTCCATGGATCACAGCTTGGTTTGAGCCCATATTCAACACCAGCTGCTTGCTGGCTGGGTAATGCCAGCAGACTTCAGTTGTCATTTCTCACTTTAAATGTAGTACTTCTGTTTTTCCATTCATTCCACCCTCCTCTGCTAAAAAAGAAACTATGGAAGGGAGGGAAAAAAAAGTCCTGAAAGGTCATTTGGTCCTTCCTTGTTGGGTGAGTTACAGGAAGCTGAGGGGTTACTGTGTCTGAAGGTGTTAAAGAAGAGTTGCAATATTAGAAGAGTTACAGTATTGGCTTCTTTTGGGACTTTGGCAAGGCAGCTTTGCATCTCCAGGATCCATCCCTGCACCCTGTGTTGCTCTCCAGCCCTTGGGAGAGATTCAAAGACCCCTGGGTTGGGGGGAGCCATCCCACCCATCCCAGCTGTGACTGGGCACCTCTCCCTGCACAGCTCCTCCTGCAGCTCCCTGGGACATCCCGAGGGACTTCAGGGCGTGGACCTCCTCTCCCTGCTCCAGAGATACCAGAGCTGGGATGGGGGATTTAGGTCAAGCCCCCTGGCCCCTCCAGCCCAAACCTCTGTGCAGGCTCCTCCTGCCCTGGGAAGATTTCCAGAGCAGCCGTGAGGATTTCCCCAGCTCTTTATCAATAACGCAGCAATAAAAAGGGGCAGCCTCTCTTTCCAAGGGCTCACAGAGCCCGGAATAATCCGAGGAGGGATTTGGCTCCCCCCAGTAGGCAGTTTACTGGTGGGCAGTGCTTTCCAGCCCCTCTGTTGGAGGGGGCTGTTCCCCCACCACCAAAGTGCGACTGAGGCTCCATGATGGGCTGGCCCATAAATCTCTCCCCTCTAATCCTTTCCATTCTACTTTTTCCAAATTGGGGGAGGAGGGGGGATACTGGGCTGGGCTGGGCAGCCCAAAGCTTTAACCCTTTGTGCTTTGGGGGATCTTCTGCTGAGCAGAAGAGGACGGTGGGTGGAAGGAGGGCTGTTCCACGGCAGCCTTTTAGAAGCAGGTAGTTCTAGTCAGCAATTAAAGCCCCACTGACAGCTTAAAGAGCTCCTCTGGAAGTTTAATAAGTCCACCACTGGATATAAGAAATAAATCTGGCTGCATTACAATCACTTCCAACTACTTAAGCAATAAATGCAGGACTCTGCTCTCGTTCAGCCGTGACGTGGGAATGTTGCTGCGCTCCCCGCTTGGTTTCCAGGGCTGGGATGCCAGAGCAGGATCCAGCTCAGCCACTGGAGCCAAGGAGACACTGTGGAGGTCACGGGGCTGTGCTGGGGGGGGGGTGATCCAGGCCTTCAGTGTGAGGTCACTTGGAATCTGAGGCTGAAATGAAGCCCTCGTGGGCTCTGTGGAGGTGAAGAAACTCCTGTATGGGGACAAGCTGAGAGAGATGGGGCTGTTCAGCCTGGAGAAGAGAAGGTTGTGTGGAGACCTCACAGCACCTTCCAGGACCTGAAGGGGCCCACAGAGAAGCCAGAGAGGGATCCTTCAGCAGGAACTGTGGTGACAGGACAAGGGGAAATGGGTTCCCACTGAAAGAGGGAAAATTAAGGTTGGACATATGGGAAAAATTCTTCCCTGTGAGGGTGGGGAGGCCCTGGCACAGGTTGCCCAGAGAAGCTGTGGCTGCCCCATCCCTGGGAGTGTCCAAGGCCAGGTTGGACAGGGCTTGGAGCAACCTGGGCTAGTGGAAGGTGTCCCTGTCCATGGCAGGGGCTGGAACTTTAAGGTCCCTTCCAACCCAAACTATTCCATGATTCCATGATTCTAAACCACCTGAGCCAAATGCCAAAATCTCCTTTTGCCCCGTGGCTGGTGATGTGGAAGAGGTGTTGCATCCCAGCTACCTGACCTTGGGATATGGAAGTGATGGGGGAGGAGGTCAAGAACAAGAGGCAGACGGTGATTTTGGTCCTCAGGTGTTTGCACAAACCCCTCTGCCAAGGCCAGGTTCTGACAGGCTGCACTGGCACCGCAGTGTTGTGACACCAGCTCTCGGCCCCGGGTGGAGTTTTATCCTCCCAGTGCCCACTGGAGGTCGGGAACAAGTCCATCAGTGGCCACCTGAAGTTCCCATCTGGGAGCAGACCTTGTGTGTCAGGGGGGCTCCCAGCCCCTCCCAGCCCTGTCACATTAAATATTCCCTGTATGGGATATCTCCATGCCAGGGAGAGACAGGAGCAAGCCCAGGGCAGGATTTGGGCAGCGAGGGGCTTCTGCAAGCGCCCCATCGTGCCTTCCTTCCCTGATCTTCACCTTTGAGGCGTTGCAGTGCTTGAAAAATGAACTTTGTGTCCATGTTCTCCTCAAAGATCCTGGGCTTTTTAAGCCCAGCTTTCTAAACCGTGCTGAAAGGTCCCGCACCGGGCAGGGGCTGCCTTTGAAAGGGAACAAATTGTCGGTTTATGGCTCCCAGGTGAGGGGGGGGGGCTGTAAATCTCCCACCATTTAACGCATCTGGTCTTTTCCAGGCTGGCTACCAGTGTTCCAAGGAGGAGAGGGAGGAATAACCAACATTTCCGGCCATCGGCTGCTCGCACGGCCCCCGGGAGCTCCTCAGGAAGGTTTTTAAAGGAATATTTATGGATGATCCCGGTGAATCAGGCCCTAAAAGGTACCAAGAAAGGGCTGTTGTTCATTAACATTTGGGAGCTGTGCATTGAGGATTTCCCTGTGGAGGGGCAAAAGAAATGGAGTGAAAGTGAAGGGGCTTTCGAGTTAATCCAGTTCTTTTTGAACGTTATTGTTGTTGGTAAAAAAATCAGAACCTTATTTTTGATGAAGGGAAAAAAAAAAATTAGAAGTACATTTTTGGGATGGTTTTCCTCCAAAGTTTCTTTCTAAAATTCCACACTGGGTTCCTCAGCAAATATCTTTGTTCTTACTGATATATGGATCCGTGGTTGAGTTTTGGTTTTTGTTCACCCACGTCTCCATGCTAAAACAACATCTCTACTCCAGCTAATAACCTGGGAATAACTTCAATTTGGTGGGTTTTCCTAAAGAAAACTTCCTTATCACTGCAATTTATTTTCAGTTTGATAAAAATGGTCTTAAAGCTTTGCAGCTTTGTGCTCACAGTGTTCTCCAAGTTAAACTTCCCCATCTCAGTAAATAACAGATCGTTCCCCGAGCCTTGTAAAATCACTTTGTATTAATCACTTTGCTTTTATGAACAGGAAAACTGAGCACAGGAGGAGGGATGGTTTGGTGGAAGAGCATCCTGGGGTTTCCACTCTCAGAGCCTTTTCCTGAGACATGAGTCACTTAAAAGCCTCCTGTAGACTCACTGATAAGAGAAACTCCCTCGAGGTGAGCCCGGGTCTGTCCTTCAGCGTGTTTATGTAAAGTACCTTTGGAACAGATTTATTCCACGGAATGTGTGGAGGAGATAAGGCCACACGTGCCCTCTGAGCCTGTTTCTTCCAGTGCAATGTCTTGAGGTTTATCTGAGTGTGCCTGAGATCAGAGTTTGCCAGAGAAAGAGAAAATCAGGGTGTTCTGTCAAAACTACAGGTTTGACATAATCCCCAAGGTTTGAACTTCTTGGGAGTTTTGGTGCCCATCCTGCTCCCAGAAGGGACCAGCAGGCTCCTGCAGCTCCCAGCACCTCCCAGTGGATGATGGTGTTTTCCCAGTGTCTCCTGGCCGTGGTGGTGGGTGGATAGGCTTAAGCTGATGATGGATGGGGCCCATGGGGTGCCTGGGGCTGTTGGATCCAGGACTGCAACGACGGAGTCAACAGTGGAGACACTTTATTGATGTCAGTGAATGTCCACTGTGCTCAGCTGCCATCCTGAGGGCCCAGCTGTAGGATCAGTGGACAGAGTCCCCAAAACTGTTGGATTTGGGTCTCCTTCCATAAGCACGGGGTGGTTCCAGAGTAACTGAGGCTGTGCATGGGGCAGTTTGATGTGCAGGGCCGTGTGGGTGCAGAGGTGTCCATGAGGGCTCCAGTAATGATTTCCTGGGAGAAGCACCTCTTTTTCAGAGGTGATGTGCCTAATAGATGGAAAACACCAGGGACAACCAGGTGGTAAAAAGAAAGTGCTTCCTTCTTATCCTAAGCCATCCCCCCTTCTCAGCACACATCTGGTGTTTCTACACCAGAAGAACCTTCTCACACATGTTCATCCATGAGCAAAATCCTCCAGGGAGAAACTGCTCTGACTCAGCTCCTCTGCTCAGCTCTGTGTGCACTTGGCACGAGGCAGGAGGTGAAGAGCTCAGCCCAGGCAGAGCAAACCTGTCCTCCAAGGCCTGAGATGCAGCAGATCCTCCAAGGCCGGAGAGGCAGCAGGCGGGAAGACGCCGATTTTTTGCCTGATGAGCAGATCTCCAGCTGTTCTGCCCCATCCTCCTGGGACAGGGACAAAGGAGGGGGTGCAAAGCCACAATGACTTCACCAGCAGCACAAGGATAGGATGGTGTCCAGCTGATCCTTGCGAAACACCCTCTGGAGTGTGCTGGCTGTGGGAACTGTGCCCAGCTCCGTGTCCTGCCATCGCGGCGTCCTCGCCTGAGTCACTTCTAACCCAATACTGAGTTGTTACCACTGGCATCAAAAAAGGGGTTTTTTTGCTTTTCAGTGACTTCACAAATCCAAGACACTGCCAACTATCCCCCCTTCACAGCATTTAAAACATCAACACTTCCCTCCCAAATGAAAAGGGAGTCAAAGGTCCTGTGCTTCCCTGTGCCCCTTGCTCTCCCACAGCAGGCATGTGGGGATTGGCCTTTTAGGAAGCCTCCTCTGCTCCACTGAACTGTATTTGCAGTTTAGGACTGTGGCCTTGTGATCCTGCACCCAGTGTGTGCAGTGGGACGTGGGGACAGGTCTGGTGGGGAGCCTGGTTTAGCTGTTCCCTGGATTTGTCACAACAGCTCAGGAGCTACTGGGGGACAGCTGAGTTTGGTCCATGGCCACGGCACCAAGCCTGCCAGAGTTCAAGAAGCATTTGGACAGTACTCTGGGGCCCACGGTGTGACCCTTGGGATGGTCCTGTGCAAGGCCAGGAGCTGGACTCAGTGATCCAACTCTGTGATCCTGCAATTCCCAGTCTGCCCAGTCCAGAGGTGTTCACGCTCGGAGTAGGTGCTCCAGCTCCTCCCTCATGACTCCCACGTGTTTCCAACATCCCTGTTAAAAAGAAACCTCCATCTCTCCCCCTCATTTCCTTTTCTCTGAGACTCTGCTTAGAGCTTGCACAAGCCTTGCCCAACAACAACCCTGGCGCCCGTCCCGGCGTGGCCGTCGTGACTCCTGGGCAGGGAGGGCAAAGGCTGTGCTCATGCTAGTTTTGGGGCAGATTTCCCTCACCTCTGGCACCTCTCCCTCCTCGCTGCTCCCAAATTTCCAGGGTTCCTCTCTCTCTCCAGCTTTCCCTCCTTCTGGGCTCACCTCTGCCTCTCAGAGGCCTTGTCCCCGGGAAGCCGCAGCAAAACGTGGCACAGACAAAGCCAGAAAACCACCAGGGAGTTCAGGGAGTTTTCCTTCCTTGCTCTGCTTCCTTTGGGATGGCATTAAAATGCAGCAGAGGATGAGACCTGGGTCCTGCTCTGTTTGTGGAGGATTTTTCCACTGGTGCAAAAAAGGGTTCTGAGAATTCTTTTTTACAAAGGAAAACACAGAGACAACGGCCATGGGGGCTGGAGGGCTCAGCCTGGGCTCCTTGCTCTAGGAACCAGCCCTTAGGTCAGTGGTGGATAATCAAAACTGGGGAGGAAACCAAGGGTCTGGTGCCCAGCTGGTGCAAATTAGTCAAATTGTTAAGATTTTAATGAGTTTGACAACCGAAATCGCCTGTGCTGGTAATTCCCTTGCATGCTCCTGGGGAGAGGCATTGTAAGAAGAAGAAGGGCAAGTTGTTCCTCTTGGAAATCCTTTCACCTTCTTTATGCAGAGAGGAAAAATATCAGGGAAGCTGAGCTCTGGATGGTCTCTGTGGGTTGGAGGAACTTTGAGACAAGGATCTGGCTTGGCTCTGTGGTGGTATTAGGGAGTAGGATTTTCTCCCTATCCAAGTAGGGTAAATCAGGAGGAAAATGTACTGAAGTGGTGGGAATGAGCCATCAGCCCAGCAGAACAGCCTGTGCCGTGGGGAAACAGCAGCAGGAGAGGTCCTGGGGGGCTGGAAAGGGAGATTTGACCCTGCTCCGAGGCTCTGGCCAGCCTGGGAATGCACTATCCTATTATTCTGGGATTCTGTGACCCTGCAGGTTTGCACAAGCTCCAGGAGCAACCCAGTGGGGCAGCTGGAGCCTCCTGGCATGGGGGAATCCCTGCTGGCTGTGCCCTGCCCAGGACAAGGGACATCATTTGGGGTCAGCTCTGGTAAGTCACAAAACCCCCAGGGCTGGGACCCCAACTCCAGTTCAAGACACGGGGACCCCCGTCAACAATGATGTGTTAAATCAGCAGAAAAACTGCTTTCCTCTCTCTTTGGATCCCTTGTCCTGCTTGCAGGAATCAGGGACCCTTCCCTCCACTGGGGAGCCAGAAAGCTCCCCAGTCTCGGCCAACCTTTTGTCTTGGTACAGCCCTGGCCTTTGTGCTCTGTATTAATTTAAGATGCTGTGAAGTGAGAGCTGTGGGGGTGGGAGATGCTGTCTAAAACTTGTTCAGAGCCTTTGCTGGGTAAATCCCCGTGGAATTTCATTTAAACGAGCTGACACCAGTATGAATCATGCCAGCATTACCCGCTCTCCAGCACTTCCTACCGACTGCCTGCAGGGCTCTTGCTTTTTCAAGTGAAGACTAAAAGCATCTAAAACTGTTTAAGACCCCAAAGTCTTAAAATAATAGGTTGGTTTTTTGTTTTTTTTTTTTCGTTTTCACTGTGGAAGAAACAACATCTGCTATAAAAATCTGCTGGCCAGGGGCAGTGGGAGCGGATACCACTTATCAGGGGTTGGAAAGTGCCTCAGCCCCGGGCCTCATGATCCCAAAGTGGTGTCTCATCTGTCTGCAAGCTGGACAGATTAGATGTACACAGAGAGGATGGAGAAGTAGGGATAAAAGAAAGGACATGGGGAATTCGGTGGAAGGAGGAAGGAAATGAAAGCAAGACTTCCAGGAAAGGGAAGGAGACAACACTGTATTTATAAATACGTACCTGGGCTTAAGTGAAGGCTCCTAAAAGCTGCTGGGACACAGTCAGGCTGCTTTGGAATAAAATCCACGAGGTAGAGTGTCTGTTCCCAGGATTTAACTGAAGAGTGACATCTCTTCAGAGGCAGGAAAGTGGTCAGGAGTAAGCATGAAACATGTAAGATTGCAGAATTCAAAAGGATAAACATTATTTGATACCTTATTTATAGGGCACCGCAGGGGAAAGGTAAAGGTTTCAGAAAAGAAAGAAGCACTTTAATTTCATCTGGAGATTTTCCAACAATAAAATCTAATCCATCATTCTCCGTGTGTGACTGCTCTTAATGAAAATTTAGAGGCTGTGAGTGAAATTTAGAATTCCCAGGGGATACTATTAGGAAGATGTCTAGCAGCTATGCAAAACCTGTTAGATCAGAGCCCTGCCAAGGGCCGGGAAGAGTGGAGTGTGAAAGGACAGCTTTTAATTCCATGTGCCGAGGCTCTGCAGGGCCCAGCCTTCCTCTCCTGGGTGGCAGCAGCACTCCTGGGATGGCTCCCACCAGGAGCAGCTCACTGGGGGATTTCAAAGAGACAAGACTTGGCCCATTTACATTTATTTTTCCCCCAAAGATCCTCCATGGTGACGAGAGTGGTTGATCTCCTCTCCCCTCCTCTCCAAGTTTCTTGCCCAAATTTAGTGATCACAGTTAGGAGCTTTCCAAAAAGCAGAGAGTGAACCTATTTCATCAGAGAATCATGGAATGGGTTGGGTTGGAAAGGACTTTAAAGATCATCCTGTTCCATGGGCAGGGACACCTTCCACCAGACCAGGTTCAAACTTTGGACACCTCAGCCCATCTTGGAGCTGCACAGAGCCACAAAGTGCCTCTCAGCCTGACCCCAAGGTAAGGTTGACCATCCCTAATCATTCCCAATCCTCTGCACTTTATTTTTAATCCAAGCAGATCACCAGACTGTTTCCAATACTTTTTAATGGTCAAAAAAGGGGCTTCGATTATAAAGACAATAATGTTAAATTATTGAAGGGCCTGGATGTACATCATGAATCAGTTTAATACCAAAGTCACTGCCAATTATTCAACTGATTCAAAAGGAGACTCCATCACAAAATGTTAAATCACAGGATAAATCTGTCCCAGGAAGGGCTTTAGTAATCAAAATTCTCTCAAAGCAGAAAAGGCTTTTTCTAAAAGCAGGGGAGGGGAAAAAAGGTTACAGCTTCAGCCAGACATTATATAGTAATGCCAGATGTTAAACAGTTGACTTGAATTATTGGCAACTATCAAATGCACGATCCTAATACTACTGGTTGCAGAGCTATGCCACCAAGTTTGTAATCTGTGGAATGGGCTTAAATATTCCTTTAATTTTCTGCCTATGGATAAGAGGCAATTTGGATCAGCTTCCGCAGAATAATAACCTCCTAATTCTCAGCAGATGAGCCCCAGCCTCGTGCAACATCAAAAAACCAAGACCCCGTGGAATGTGTGACCTTTCATGGCAGATGATTTCCAATCATACGACTCCGTTGGATTTGAGTAATTAAGGACAAGACAGGCCTGAAAGTGCTCTGCCTGCAGACACAGGAGGAGCCTACAGAGTTCCCTGTTCCCAAAAGCAGGTAAAAAACATCCAAAAAAAAAGGGTTCAGAGGTTTGCACATCGGTCTTTTTTACCCCAGAATTCACCTTTCTAAAATTTTTCCACGAGTCCCTGTGCTGGAGAACCCCAATAGCCCGAGATCACTGGGAGCAGGTGCTGTCTGCCCATGTGGGTTCTCAATTCCTTGGGTGCCTCTGCCTTTTTCCTTCTCCTTCCCACGTCACCCATCCAATGTCACCCACTGTGTCCTTTTGTCCAGCAGGATTTGGGGGGCAGGACTGGCACCTATTTATTTGTGCAGCCCCCAACCTGGGGGGTGTAATCCTTTGGAATTCCAGCCAGGTGTCCTGCAACAACCCTCCTCTGTGGGGTCAGTGACTGCTGCCATCTCTGTGGCTAAAAAATGGGATCTGGGCATCTCCTGCTCAGGCCAGGATTAGTGGGAATGGCCTTGTCCCCCAGCAGTTCAGGCATGGATTTTTCCCACCAGCCTGGCAGCATCACCACGAGGTTGGGCACCTCCTGCATCCAGGATGAGACTTGCTCTCTCTCCATGCTCAGCTTGGGATGTGTTAGAAGTAACATATGTAGTGACAGGATAAGGGGGAATGGGCTCAAAGTGACAGAGAGGAGGTTTAGATGGGATATTGAGAAGGAATCCTTCCCTGGGAGGGTGGGGAGGCCCTGGCACAGGTTGCCCAGAGAAGCTGTGGCTGCCCCATCCCTGCAAGTGTCCAAGGCCAGGTTGGACTGGGCTTGGAGCAACCTGGGCTAGTGGGAGGTGTCCCTGCCCATGGCAGGGGGGAGACTGGATGAGCTTTAAGGTCCTTTCCAACCCATGTGATTCCATGATTCTATAAATGCAGCTCCCCAGAGGTGTGAGGACAATCCCAGCCTGACCCACCCCCTGCAGACTGTAACAGAATTTCCTCCAAGCCTGGGCTGAGGCTGAAGTAACAAAACTTGGCTGTTCAGACGAGCCAAACCCCACATTTGCTTTTCTTTTGATTGTTTTCCTTCCCCTTTCCTCGATGCAGGGCTGTGAGATCTGAGAGCACGGGCAGCACGGCCGGGTTGTTCCTGCCTCAGCTCCAGCGGGAACGTCCTCGCTCCGAGGCTGGAAGGTGGGTGAGGAAAGGGTCAAAACACATCCCCCCAACTGCAGGAGGAGAAGAATGTTGGCAGAGCAAACCTTGCCACAGGAATAAAAGGTTGTCCTGCCTGTTCATATTACGCCACGCGGGGTGAGTAAAACTGTCGGTCAGGAGTGAAGCGTCTGATACACAAAAGGGAATAAAAACTCATTAAAGGGCTGAAAGAAAACCCTGTTAAAATACCGAATATACAATGGAGGAGACTTGATCACCCTCGTGCTCGAGGAGTGTCAGGCTTTGAAGGAATCTGATTTTTTTTTTTCCCCTGAAAGCAGCGGAAATGCGCTCTGTGGGGAGCCAGGTGGGATGAGGGGCAGGTAGAGTGTCAAAGAGCACTGATAATATTTCAGGGCCACGCTCGGAGCCTGAAATACGAAGGGGGTTTATTCAGCTTGCTGTGGGGAGGGGAGTGATAGCAGATTTTTGAAGGAATTCCAATGTAGTTCATACTCGTCTGGTTCTTAAATCCAGAGCCCTCGGCCGCTGCTGTGCCGGGGTAGGAGCATCTCCACTGCTCCCCACAGCCCACAGGGAATCAGCACTGGTGGCTCCTCGGGGTGCTCCTGCCCTGGCCTGGCTCTTGTCCCCCTGAAAAACCAAAAAAAGGAGCTTTTTAGAGGGCCTGAACTACCCTGAGAACCCTCTTTCTCACAGCATCCTGATTCTGCTTCATGTGGTCTTGGGGAAGGGAAGAAATTACAAAGGAAAAGAGTAAAGGAACCACCTCAGTCCTCTTAGTGCTGGAATGATGGAGCCTGGTTTCCAATGGATTTGTGCCTCAGGGCTGATGGACCTTTAAACCAAACTAAACTGTGGCTATAGCAGGATTTCACCCCTTTTTATACACCAGAAAAGTGGTGGGGAAAAAGACATGATTAATACCTCACCCAGAGCAATTCTTGCCTGGTCAGCCACCCAGAGTCTTCTTTTTGGGTGTTTTCCCCTGTGTGGACTTTCTAGTATCTCATAGGTATGAATGCTACCAAGACTTTTCCATGGTTTGGGAATTTTTGTCCCTTCCTGGATTTGAAGCTTTCTGGTTGTGGTTTCTCTCTCACACACGCACAAATCTTTTGTAACAACCTTTATAGGGGTGTGTTAACTTTAGGATTTCTATCTGTTGTCCATTTGGTTGAACTTGGCACCGGAATTCAGTAATTCCATGGGGATGGGGCTGTCAGGAGAACATTCCCTCATCCATGGGATATTACCACAGAATATTGCCTCACAAAATCAGGGTTCAAGGAAAACCCTGTTGCTAATTTAGATGGAATAAACCACTAATGCAGGCCCTGAGTTTAACCCATTTTCCCTGCTCTGCTACCATTTTCCTCCTGCACAGGGAGGTGAGTTTTTGTCTCAACCCCTCCTCCTCAATCCAGCTTTTTTTGGACAGCAAGGCTGATTTCCTCCCATCTCAGCAACACCAGGTACAAACAGGGCCCGTCATTCCCTCACAGGCACATTATAATCACCTAAGTCCTGTTTCCTTCTGAAACCTGAGCAGAGCTGGTTCCACAAAGCCCATTGCAATGCACCGAGGGGCTCTTCAAAGGTGGAAAAGGGGGAAGCCTGTCCTCAGCTTCCCATGGAAAGTCTGTCCATGAACGGAGGCAACGAATCTGCAGAGACGCTGAGGCAAGCGAGGAAACACCACAGCCCTTTTCCAAAAGCTCAGTTACACGAATCTCTTTTACATTTGCAGCTCTGAACATCGTTTTTGGGGCCAAACGTGCCCAGGAGCCGCGACGTGTGGGACTGCAGGTTTCAATCCTCAGAGCCTTTTCCAGTCAACTGATCCATCCCAAACCTTTCAGCAGGTACAAACAGGCCTTTGCCTTCCAGCAGGATGAAACAGCAGTAAATATAAATGGGACAGGGAAAGCGTTTGGAACAGACATTTTAATGGTCTGTTCGCTGTTGCGGTCGGAGGGAAATTCCCTTCGAGCTCAGGAGCAGGTGGGGAGAAATCCACTCCTCTGCCCCTCATCTGATCATTCCCAGGGAGCAGAAGTCTTCTGTGCCTCCAGTTAATGCCCCAGCCTGGTCCTGAGTGCTCCTGGAAGCACAGATGTGGGAATTACCTGTAAAATAAACCAAGAGCAGGGCAGGGCCCTGTGGAGAACGGCCTGAAGCTTTAATGACACCTGGAATTGTGTATTCCCTCCTTGATGTTCCACCTCCCAGCCTGCAGCTAATTATTGTCTATATTCCACTTGATTTTGAGGTGGCCAGAGGCAAGAACACGGTAGTTTGTGCTGAGGGGATGGGAAAGGTGTTGTTCTCCTGCTGAAACAGGAGCAGAAGGATTTTTTTGCCTTTCCAGGTGTGTTTTGAGGTGTTTCTGGTGCTTCCCTGTGAGGGTGGGGAGGCCCTGGCACAGGTTACCCAGAGAAGCTGTGGCTGCCCCATCCCTGCAAGTGTCCCAGACCAGGTTGGACGGGGCTTGGAGTAACCTGGGCTGGTGGAAGGTGTCCCTGCCCGTGGCAGGGGGTGGGATTGAGATGGGCTTTAAGATCCCTCCCAACCCAAACCATTCCATGATTCGATGATTCCATTATGTCAGTCTGGGACCTTGAGCTTGGCTATGTCTGGGCACAAACCCCACCATGGCAGAGCAGACCGAGCTCAGGCGACGTGGAATTCAACCAACATATTTTACACCCACACCACTAAAAATAAGACGCCGACGCCAACTCTTCATCTGGGAAGAGGAACCACCGGTGTTGCTGCGTCTTGGATGAGGCTCAGCACTCAAGCCCTGACCATATTTAGCCATAAGATCATCTCACAGGACTTCACAGAGTCATGGAATCACAGACTGGCTTGGGTTGGGAGGGACCTTAAAGCTCATCCAGCTCCAACCCCCTACCATGGGCAGGAAACCAGGAATTCTGCAGGAGAGTGGAGCTTTAGAGAAAATTATTCTGGCCCAGCGCCAGCTCTGCCTTTTATTATTTTCCCCTGTTATCTCCAGACTTCATTTCACCCCCTAAATTGCTGCGTTGAGTTCCCCAAGGTTTCTAAAACGCTGCCATGCTATGGAGGGGGCTACAGGCAGGAAATTCTGTCTCCCCAAAATGCCTCACACAGCTGAAATCAGGCCACCTATTTAGGTGTCAGGTTCAGGTTTTGTCATTGTAAGTGCAGAAACTTGAAACATTTTGCCCAAATGTGTTGAAAGCCACGAAGACATTAAAGATTATTCATGGAATAAATATTCATTTGCAGGAAGAGGGTGGGTTTTTTCATGCATGAATATTTCAGGCAATGTGTGCAGGCGCTTCCAGAAAAAGGTGATGATATTCTAAGTGCTGTTTGAATAGTTCCTAATACTAAAGATATCAAGGATTAAAGATACCAGGATACCTTCTTTTTAAGATTTAATCATGGAATGGAATCGCGGAATGGTTTGCGTTGGAAGAGACCTTGAAGCTCACCCAGTTCCAACCTGCCGTGTGCAGTTTCTGATCAAGTTAAAATCCTTCCTAGATTTTCCTTACCTGATTATTATTACTGAAAAACTCCCTGAGAGTCTCTGTTCAAACTTTCCCTCCCAGTGCTGCAACACCATCACTCTGCTGATCGTTTTTAACCACAAACGCATTGCACTTGTCGCCCTGAACACCAGAAAAAATGTCCTTATTTTATTCCCAACTGCCCTGGCGGCTTTTTCCCCGCGCGAACGCCGTTCCCTGGGCCAGCAGCACACCAAGAGATGCGGCTTCGCATCTCCAGCTTTCCCGGGTTCAGAATTCCAAGTTTTTTTGGAGTCCTGTGTGGAGCTCTGGTACCATCTAGTGTTACTGGGGAAGCCTCGGCTGCTGGATGTGGCTTTTCCTCGCTGATGTCGAGCTGGGCTCGCAGGAGAAGTCACCTGTCGCGACAGGAGGTGGCGATTAGGAGGGACAATACGCAGTGACAGCGTGTCCTCCGCCACCAGCTGTGGCTTGGAATGAGCAGATACAGCAGGACTGGAAGAGAAGCAACTCTGACCTCTGGGGAGGTGCCTGGGCCCACACAGGTGTGTGTGTGCGGGTGTCACCTGAGGGGCCGGGGCCACCGTGATGCCCCCGAACAGGGCGCGCGAGATGCTTCACCACCTCCCTCGTGCCCTCTGGCGGCGCCTCACGCACCAAGAAGACCCGCAGGGCGCTGCACAGACGCGTAGGGCGAGGGATTTATTTAAACGGGTTATTTAAAGAGGTTTATTTTAAACCCCCCCAAAAAGAATTGCCCCCAGCAAAGATGGCGGCGGCCCCGCCCCGCCATCTTTGGTGAGGGCGGAAGTGACGCGCAGGCGTCGCCACCGCCCCGGAAGTGCTCGGGCCTTCAAAGAGTGGCGGGCTCGGGGTCGGGGCCGGACGGTGAGGGGGAAACGGGGGGAAAACGGAGAGGTCGGGGGAGGAAAACGGGAACTGCGGGGCTGGGCACGGCGGGAGGGGTTGCGAGGGGAGCGGGAGCGGTTGGTCGCGGCGGGGGGGGTTGTGGCCGTTGGGAGGAGGCGGTTGGGGGGGGTCTGTGAAGGGCTCGGGGTGAGGAGGAAGGGGAGTCGGGGGGGTTTGGGGGGAGTTGGGGCCGCGAGGGCGGGGAGGGGGCTGAGGGGGCTTGTGCGAAGGCTGAGGGGAGGCTGGGGGAGTCATGGTCAGGATGGAATCCTGGAATAGTTTGGGCGGGAAGGGACCTTAAAGCCCATCCAGTCCCACCCTCTGCCACGGGCAGGGCACCTCCCACTAGCCCAGGTTGCTCCAAGCCCCGTCTGACCTGGCCTTGGACACTTCCAGGGATCCAGGGGCAGCCACAGCTTCTCTGGGCAACCTGTACCAGGGCCTTCCCTCCCTCTCAGCCAAGAATTCCTTCCCAATATCCCATCTAACCCTGCCCTCTGGCATTTTAAGGCCATTCCCCCTTGTTGTTACAGTTCTTCCAAAGCCGGTCCCTCTAAACCCACCTGAAGAACAACACCGCTCACATTTGGGGTCTGTTTTCTTTCTTTTACCCCCATCTCCTTGTTTTTAGGGTTCTCTCAGCACTGGATGGAATTCCAGTGTTTTTTGAGCTGCTGAGGATCAAACACTTCAGTCCCTGGTGTAACTTACCCAACAGAGATGAAGAATTTGGGTTCTTGAGGGGTCTTTTTTTTGCCTTGTTGAGGAAAGGACCTTGCAAGTGGGAACTGTCT